TGATTGTGGTATTTGAGTGTGAGGATAAGATATTCACCTGACCTCTTGCCAACTGAATACCACGTCTTCAAGCATCTCTCCAATTGTTTTCCAGGGGAAAAAATTCCACAACCAATAAGAGGCAGAAAATCCTTCCCAAGAATTCATGAAATCCTGAAGCATGGATTTTTTTTTCATCATTGTTTCTAGGTTACTTATTTTGAAAAAAATCAGAGTTACAAAAAGCATTGGAGTGGTTCTGTTCTCTTTAAGTTCCTCAGAGCAACAAACAACATAACTAAAGCTAGAACATTTTTACTTCTAACATGCAAATCCTAAAGAGGGCTCAAGGAATTGTAAAATGCATTTTTTAACCAAGTTTCCATTCAGGATTGGTGTTTCTGTTTTAATGAAAAAAAAAGTAAGTGTTTTAGAGTAAGAATTTAATAAAGAAGAAAAATCATAAACGGACTAAATACAAAATATCCATTTTCCCATAAGTATACATACCTAGTATTTTGTCAACAAAATAATTTAAATATTTATAGATAGTTAAATAAATATTAAAATAGATAAATAAATGCTCAGGTAGTTAAATACATAGATAGATCAGCTTCGGCATCTGTGAGGAACCAGTGTCTATAGAGTAGAACATGATGTTACTTAATATTCCAGAAAACATTTGACAACCTGTTTCAGTTCAGGGCCTAATGACAGCAGAAATGAAAGTCCTCCACGTGGCCACGCAGGAGGCAGTGTGGTCTTGTTGGTCTGTGAGGATCATTTCCATGTTGGACCAGGTGTGTGTCAGTCCTTCCTCCCGAATCTCTCCTGCAAATTTGTTGAGGAAGCAAAGGCTCTCATGACTTCTGCTCTGACAACCTCTCAGGCACAAGGGCTGTGTCCCTTCTCTTGCAGATAGAGAGTGACTCTGTGGAAGTATTTCCTCAGAGCCAGGCTGGAGTCCCCCTTGAGCAGGGGAGCCCTGGGCTTTCTCTAGTTGTATCCAGTGGGGCTCACTCTTCCTCCCAGCTCCTGGTTTCCTTCCTATGAGTCTTCTTCGGGCTCCAGCATGCAGGATTCAGCAGCTGCAGCATGTGGGCTCTAGAGCAGGGTCTCAGGATCAGTGGAGCGCTGTCTTTGTTGTTCCATGGCAGGTGGACACTTCCCGGACCAGGGATTGAACCTGTCTCTCCTGAGGAGAGATTCTTATTCACTGCACCACCAGAGAAGTCCTCAACAAGTCATTTTGGCTAAATCAGTTTCTCAGATTTCCTCCTACTACTGGAAGGCATTTACAAATGACCAAGCTATTTTGCTTCATCTGGGCCCCATTTCCTGGAATTATAATAGACAGTGGCTGGTATTTCCACTCTATTCTTGCTGGTGCCAGTCATACTGAGTTTGTTGCTAAAACCACTAGGAGTCTCCTTCCTTGAAGGCACATGTGGTCTGGCGATTCAAGTAGCAAGTGCAACACACTTTTCAGCCTTTGCCCAGCACTATATTAAACTCAGGAGGATGCCTCACCCCTGATTGTCCTCAACTAGGTCATGATTCCAGAAAACATCTTCTTCTACTGCACTGCCTAGGCTAAAGCCTTTAACCCTGTGGATCACAACAGACTGTGGAAAATGCTTCAAGAGAAATAAGTACCAGACCATCTTACCTGCCTCCTGAGAAATCTGTATGCAGGTCAAGAAGCAACAGTTAGAACCGGACATGGAACAATGGACTGGTTCCAAACTGGGAAAAGAGTACATCAAGACTGTATACTGTCACCTGTTTATTTTACTTACATCCAGAGGACATCATGTGAGATGCCGGGCTGGATGAAGCAGAAGCTGGAGTCAAGATTGTCAGGAGAAATATCAATAACCTCAGATATGCAGATGATACCACCCCTTAGGCAAGGAAAGAGGAACTAAAGAGCCTCTTAATGAAATTGAAAGAGGAGAGTGAAAAAGCTGGCTGAAAACTGAAAACATTCAAAAAAGTAAGAACATGGTTTCCAGTACCATTGCTTCATGGCAAATAGATGGGGAGACAAAGGATAGAGTGACAAACTTTATTTTGGGGGGCTCCAAAACCTCTGCAGATGGTAACCGCAGACATGAAATTAAAAGACATTTCCTCCTTGGAGGAAAAGCTATGACCAATCTAGACAGCATATTAAAAAGCAGAGACATTACTTTGGCCACAAAGGTCCGTATGGTCAAAGCTATGGTTTTTCCAGTAGTCATGTATGGATGTGAGAGCTGGACCATAAAGCTGAGTGCCAAAGAATTGATGCTTTTGAAATATGGTGTTGGAAAAGACTCTTGAGAGTCCCTTGGATTGCAAGGAGAACAAAACCAGTCCATCCTAAAGGAAATTAGTCCTGAATATGCACTGGAAGGACTTATGCTGAAATTCCAGTTCTTTGGCCACCTGATGCGAAGAACTGACTCATTGGAAAAGACCCTGATGCTGGGAATGATTGAAGGCAGGAGGAGAAGGGTACGACAGAGGATGAGATAGTTGGATGGCATCACTGACTCAATGCGTATGAGTTTAAGCAAGCTCTGGGAGTTGGTGATGGACAGGGAAGCCTGGTGTGCTGCAGTTCATGGGGTCATAAACAGTCACACATGACTGAAAGACTGAACTGAACTGAGGTCATGACAGAAAAGAACATGCCGGGGAATCATACACAGAGCTATGTATCTGAACTCAAACTCTCCCTGATGCTCATAGCTCACAGCAAGAAGCAGGCAGTTTACCACAATACTCTTTGGTGGATCTTTACCGACATGGCAATTACTACTACATTGATCCTGAGATACTTCAGAGACTCCTCACAAGGAATGATGAATGATCATTTCCATGCTCTATTTTATTCCATTGCATGGATGGTAAGCTTTATTTTAGTTTGGCTTCCAGTTTTTGACATGTAATAATTAAAGCTTTACAACAGGTTGAAAATCTAGAGTTTGGATCTGAATCCCTGGTTTCCTTATTTTTCCTACTAACTTGCTCATTCTTTTTTATTCAGTGTGACTATTTTCTTACTTCTGCATGTCAAGCAAAGACCTTTATATTCTGAATGGTTAGGACCCCACCAAAGTCGTATCACAAGGTCATAAACCCCAAAGTGATGATATAGGTGACAGACCTTTTGGGACATGATTAGGGTGTGAGGATCATTTCCTCACATAAAGAAATAATGCCCTTATAAAAGAGGTGGATATAAACCACTCCCTCTGCTTCCCTGTGATGATACAAGGAGAACTCTGCAGTGTGAGACCTGAAGCAGGCTCTCACCACAACTGGACCAAACTGACACACAGTTCTCGGATATCCAGACTTGAGAACTACCTTTGAGCAATACATTTCTGGTCTTTGCAAACTACCCAGTCTATGCTATTTTGTTGAAGAAGCTTGAATAGTAAGATATTACACGCCCTGTTTTATCCTCAGAATACCTCCGGAGTCTGTAAAATTTCTGAAGGGAAAGAAATTATATTACTGAACCCTGTTTCCTAGACATCTAGTCTGGGCCGAAACATTCCTTGAGCTCAATCAATATTCAAGTAACATCAATTCACAAGGATGATAATGATAGGAGAAACAATAATACCAATATCTATTATATATATATATATATATATATATATATATATATATGATGTGAGAACACAATAATTTAAAGATCCTTCATGCTTCTACAAGGGAAGATATGATTAAATATTGTGTGAGATACTTTTTAAAGATCATTTGCAGAAATATTTTATTCAAGTTTGTATTTTCAATATTTGGAATGTATGGTGAGTGGAAGACTCACTGTCCACTTTTAGTTCAGTGATTCTCAAGTTCTTGCAAGGAGCTGCCTGATCATTCTTTCCTTGCCTCCCTCAGGTAGTAAGGAAACACATTGTCTACACTTGTAGATGTTTTCCTCATTAGCCTATGCCTTTGGGAGTCAATCTGAGTGCTTCTTTCAAATAGTCTATGATGCTCTGAACTCTGAGTGACATCTCTGTCATCTTCCCCAAGCTGAAACTATGAAATAAGAGTTTAAATCAGAGTGTGTGCAAGCAAAATATTGGTTTTCCCCTTGCACACCCACCCAGAGCTCCATTAGGACAAATAGTGAAAAAATGGTCCTGTGCACTGAACTTGTCTCCTTTTGTCTTAATCATCCAATTATTTCACTTCCTTGCAATGAGAATCCAATGAGGATAAGTCCGGGCTGGGTAATGTGAGCAGAAGTGCTATTACCCCCATATAGTCCTGGCCCTTGGAAACATCTCATGTGATCCACTAATCTTTTCCCTTTGCCTTCAAGGAGAATAGACTCAAGTACTACAGACAAAATTGAAGTCACATGTTAATAGTGTAAAAATTGAAAAACAAGGGGACCCATTTCCCTGACTCACTTTTTGGAGAAGAGCAAACTAGAAGATTCACCTGATCAAGAAGGCCTGCATTGTGCTCTTCAAAGAAGGAAAGGAAAGTATCCATTAGAATCAAATTCCTGACACTTTTCTGTTTACCTGTTACAGAGGTTAAACATTAGGTTAACTGACAAATACCTTTAATAACAACATACTCTCCTAAAAACTCCCATAAAAAAGTAAACTTCAGATGTTGAAAATAGTAAATACCCCCAAATACATAAAGATCTTTTACATTGTGTTATAAAATTGTTTATTTAAGAAAAGAGACTTTGTTTTTCTATTTTTGTAAAACTACGATTTTTATTTCAGTTATTTTTCAGCTTGTAAGCAAACAGAAGTCCAGCTCACTTTGGAGAGTTGAGAAAACAACATCTGATTGAGTAGAGAGTTGTCACAAGTATAATTTTCATTTTATCTGTTGACTTTTCTTGAGGATTCTTACATGAGGGAAAGGCACTTTTCAATTTCCACTCTGACAACCTCCCAGGCACAGGGGCTGTATGCCTTTTCCTTCAGGTAGAGATGGATTCCTTGGAAATACTTCTGGACAGCAATTGCCAAATTGGGACAATCCAGAGTCACTTCTCCCAGCTTTTCCAGGCTCTGACCCAGGCTGGAGAGTAGTTTGTCGAGGAGGGTGCTGTTCCAAGCAGCACAGCTGCTCTCCGTGGTGAAGAGGTTGAAGATCTGCTGGAGCATCACTTGGTGATAACAGGTGCCTTGAGTCATCTGGATTGGGGTGATATTCTCTCTTCTCCAAGGAAACTTGAAGTCGTGTCTGTGCTCTAGGCATGACTGAGAGGGGATCGTTTTCATCTGTCTCAAATGTTTGGAGATTGCTTTGTTGTCAAGAGGACAAGCAGGGATGGAGCAGAGCATCACTCCTGCCACTAGCAAATAGATCTTGGCCATAGAGAGTTTCCGTGATTCACTGGAAGGCCACCAGGGGGCGCACGGCACCACTAATCAATGAGTGAAAGGTTTCTCCGCCCCGTCCTGTCACAGCGCGGTTTTCTAGCAGTCCGCAGGAAGGCTCAGGATGTCTTTTTATCGGTTTTCTTAGACTGTTTGCGAGTTCTGAGACTTCGTTTCAGCGGGTTTGGCAGCCAAAGAGGAAACCGTCGCTGCTCAGAGACCAAGTTGGTGCGGCTTTAATAGTGCACGAGGAAACTTTCATTTCCGAGCCCTCGCCAGAGACATTTTTCAGGAAACCGTCGCTACTCAGAGACCAAGTTGGTGCGACTTTAATAGTGCACGAAGAAACTTTCATTTCCGAGCCCTCGCCAGAGACATTTTCGTGTGGTGGCAAGCCCGGAACCTTGCGTTTTCTGCTTTCCCCTGAGTTTGGTGCTTTCTTTTCGCCCAGAAACTTGAGCGAGGCCATTTTTACAGAGGTCTTTCATGGTGACTCAGACGGTAAAGAATTCGCCTGCAATGAGGGAGACCTGGGTTCGATCCCTGGGTTGGGAAGGTCCCCTGGAGCAGGAAATAGCACCCACTCCAGTATTCTTGCCTGGAGAATCCCATGGACAGAGGAGCCTGGTGGGCTACAATCCATGGAGGTCTCAAAAAGTCGGACAGAGCTGAGCGACTTGGCATGTCTTTACAAAGAAAATACGTTTACTAAGGGGTTTGAGGCGGAGAATCAGAGCGAGTTGGAGCCTATTTTACAGATTCGGGCTCGTTTCTGACGCGATGAAAGGACAGCTCAGGGAATAGGGAACTTGGCCGCGGCGATGGGACGACTGGACGGTGTTGGGGACTCCTGGGGGTGAATCGGAGCGCGGTCCCCACCCCGGCCGAGGACGGGGGAGCTGTGCGCCCCTGGAGGTGCTCTGGGACTTTCAGGATGTCTTTTAAGGTATCGGTCTTGAAGTGGGGGAGTAAGCATTAATTAACTGAGAAGTAGGAATATTAAAACACTCATAGCACTGTATTTTTATATGTATGAATTTATTAATATTTAAATACAATTAATATTGATCATATTTAACTTGTTTAAAATGTTTATATTTTGAAATATTTTAATGAAAATATTTAAATATTTGCTGTATGGTATTAAAATGCATGAGTATTAAACAGCATTTTATTAAATTCTATTTAAACTACAGTTCTTTATATTACAACAAGAATTTAATTTTGCTTTCTTTGCTTTAATGGAAGCAAACTCATTCATATATTCAAGATCATTTCTGTTCTTGCTTAACAATTTTTTGTGACTCTGTAACAGCCTTAATTTTTTTTTAACCTGGGTTTCTGAAACACTGCTGCCAGGACCCACCTGAGTGTTGTATGGAAAGAAGAGTTAGTGGAAATATCCCCGGTGGTCCAAGGATTAAGACTGAGTTTTCAATGCAGAAGGTGCCAGTTTGATCCCTAGTTAGGGAGCTAAGATCCCACATGCAGTGCTGTGCAGCCAAAAAGAAAGGAAAGAAGAATGGAAGGGAGAGAGAGAGGGAGGAAGCAGGGAAGGAAAAAGAGGCAATGTCTTGTACGAAGCATTGAGGAAGTTTACCAGGTCTATCTTTTCATTTTCTTTGGTAAGAATTTTATAGACTCAACGTAAATTTCCCAGAGTTCATTGACGTGAACCCTTCCCTTGTAAGACATGGCCGTGCAAATGCAGGGTCATTTCTTGTCTTTATTTAAAATTTTGATGTTTCATTCAGTGTGTGTTTTGGCATTTTCTTTTTTTAACATTGAATTACAATATTATCTATCTTGACATCTTAGATTTGGTGCCTTTTACATTTCATACTTAAGAAAAGTCCTTTCTTAGTTTACCCCAATACTAACCCAAGAAATAGCTTTAGAAGTACTGTTGCCATCTTCCCTGGATGAAAGTATAGGAATGTCCCATTTCTTGCCATCCTCTCCCCTATCTCATTGTATAACTGATTTCCTGGTCTCTTGAGCCGTTAAAAAAATCTTTGTCTTAAAATAATATTACCAGAGGTGGTCTGAGACTAACCGAGGATGAGGTAAGGAACAGTTTATCTCATTTGTATTTTTCACAGAGCAGCCATGTTTTTGTTTTGGTTTGGTTTGGTTTTTTGGACAATTTTCTGAGGTGCTGGTTCTCTGCAAAAGGATTCAAGTGCTGTAAGATTTTTTTCCAGAATGTTCCAGGCACTTCTCTAAGACTGGAATCTTGGGCTCTGCTTCTTCACATCCTATGGGCAGCCCCCTCTCCTAGAGTTTGCATTGGGGGCCTCAACATACAGAACCCTGACAGCGTTAAGGGCCTTACAGTCAAAGCTTCTCCTGGTTGAACTGAGAATGGACTAAAGACATTACTATTGGTTATATTGATATGAAAGGCTACTATCATTCATTAAGTTCAGATTCTCGGCCTGTAATTTGCAAACTTTATATCTGATGAACATGCTATCCTCTGTGACCACTACTGAAGTTGTCTTGGTTTTTCAGAAGAGGAAATCAAATTCTGGTGTCAGTTACATTCAGGAGCCCCAGAGTGTCTAAAAGTAGAGCTTCCTGCCGCCCCCAGTCCCTCCTCTTCCTCAGCTCTGAGACCCGGCCCTCAGCTGCCCTGACCTCCTGCTGCCTCTTTCCTCTCATCCTGCCTCTGAGGTCCTCGCCCCTGCTCCCAGGAGGGCAGCCACCATCCCTGCCTGACTGTCCTGAAATCCACATCACCAAGCACATTGTCACATATTTATGCAGTCAGCACACTTTGGTGACAGAATGAAGAGAACTGTATGTATGAACCCATGTTCAATATTATGCCACTATTATCTGTAGACCATCAGAAAATGAGAGCTATGGTCCTGTAAATCATTGTGGAAGAGTTCAAACCTTATGTATTAGATCTTAAAAAGGAAATACAGAGAGTTGTGGCTAGATATATTTTGGTGCAGTTTAAAAACTGTCAAAATAGAGTAGGGGGTCATTTCTTATTAGACTTAAAGAAGAGAGTTAGATTGAGCTTTGGGTTTTATTTCAACCTGAGTTGACTCATTTAGATGAATACATCCTGTTGGACTGAGACTTTTCCATGAGTGTATTTCATTTCCAGTGTAATTACACAAAAGAAGCATCGAAGCTGTGACATTTCTCTGATGCCGGAAATAAACAGGGAAAGTTTTTAGGTGGAAACTAAAATGAGAAAAGTGCTGAAAATGACAATTCTGGCTTAATTAAGCATCTCATTTGCAGGAAGGTCCTCAGAGCAGCTGGATAAATATGCAGCATAATCAACCACCACCACCACCCTCCCCCCGGGGAGGGCGGGGGCCTGCCAGCTCCTTCACTGACGACAACAAGAATGATGTTCTCCAGTCCTGGAGGATGGTGATCATCACCATTGCCGTCCTCTGAGAGACCAGGAATCCCCAAACTCAGCGCTGTAGTGAAACAGAGTCTCAGGCATACAACTCAAGGCTCTCAAAGCTGCCCTCGCTGCGCCCCAGCGGCCGGGAGGGGGCGCCCGAGCTCGCCATAACGCGCTGACGACAAGGCCCACCCAGCGCGACCCGCCTCCAGCGCCGCGAACGCGAGCGCCGGATCCACCGGGAGATCCCGGGAGCCCGGGCGAGGCGCCGCCGGGGTTCAGGGAGCGCGTGGGGACGCGGGAGCCGTGAGTAAACTTCCTTTTCCAACCCGACTGCCCAGGGGAACCTTGCCGCCGCTTCGCTCAGAGCCTCGCATTTTCTGCACCTGCCTCTGCGTCCACACTCCCCTTCCTGGGAGGAGATTTTGGCCAGAGCGGTGCCCGTTTAAGCTGCGATTGACGGCTGGAAATCAGAGCATGTTGTGATGTGTTTTCAGATTCAGGATTATTTCCAGGGGAAGGAGGAAAGGCATCTCCAATCGGAGACGAATATTATTACAATGATTTTATTAAATTTTACGGATGTGAGAGTTGGACTATAAAGAAAGCTGAGCGCCGAAGAATTGATGCTTTTGAACTGTGGTGTTGGAGAAGACGCTTGAGAGTCCCTTGGACTGCAAGGAGATCCAACCAGTCCATCCTGAAGGAGATCAGTCCTGGGTGTTCATTGGAAGGACTGATGTTGAAGCTGAAACTCCAATACTTTGGCCACCTGATGCAAAGAGCTGACTCATTGGAAAAGACCCTGATGCTGGGAAAGATTGAGGGCAGGAGGAGAAGGGGACGACAGAGGATGAGATGATTGGATGGCATCATCGACTCAATGGACATGGGTTTGGGTGGACTCCGGGAGTTGGTGATGGACAGGGAGGCCTGGCGTGCTGCAGTTCATGGGGTCACAAAGAGTCACACACGACTGAGCGACTGAACTGAACTAATGATTAATTTGTCTTCCCTGGTGGCTCAGTGGTTCAGAGTCTGCCTGCAATGCAGGATACCCGGGTTCTATCTCTGGGTTGGGAAGTTCCCCTGGAGAAGGGAATGGCTACCCCCTCCAGTATTCTTGACTGGACAATGCCATGGATAGAGGAGTCTGGTGGGCTACGGTCCACGGGGTCACAAACAGTTGGACAGGACTGAGAGACTAACACTTTCGCTTTCAGGCTTCCCTGGTAACTCATAAAGAATCCTTCAACAGCCTTATAGTAGTTAAAAAGTATTGAAACGTGGGTGTATTAAAATTCAGATTATTTTAACTTTAAACATTTTATTTATACCAAAACCAGAATTTGTTATAATTTACTGACATTTTTGAAGACAAATTGAACAATAATTTTGTCAGAATTACTTCTTTGCTTATCTCATTTTCAGTGGAGAGGATTAATTTAATTTTAGCTTGCTGAAAGTTTTGGAGAGACAGCATATGAATTTCTGATTCATATTAATTCTTTTCTCCATCTCATCCATGATGCATTTCCAAATTATAGGACGTATTTTTCTTGTCCCGTAGTTAAAGTTACAATTCTATGGCAGTCCAATGTTTTGATAGCTTTGACAGCAG